TGCTGCTGCTGCGGTGGAGGAGGCGGTGGTGGTGGTGGTGATGGTGCTTTAACCACTGATAAAAGCCAGATTAGGAGCCGGGCAGAGAGCCGAGGAAACCCAGAGAGGTTAGGAGATCAGAGGCGAAGAGTGGACGATAATCTTGCCATAACATCGGGATAGGTCAATGTAACCGGATTAAAGTGAGCTAATGAAATACACCAGATATGATGGATGGGGGGTGGGGGTGGGGTGTGTGATGGGGGGGGGATGATGTGATGAAGAAAATTCCAAAATAAAAGCCAACATGAAGTAATGGAGAGAGCAGGAAGGAGGTCAAAGACTGAATCTGTTTCAGTTCTTCACTGTAAAACAAAGACTGACACATGTCATGGCCGCTGCTGTAAACTGACGAGAGAGAGAGAGAGAGAGAGAGAGAGAGAGAGAGAGAGAGAGAAGCTGTCCTGTCATAAATATTAAAAATACAAAAACATAATCATGTCTTGTGACAAACAAGCAGAGTTTCCCTCCGCGTCCAGCGGCGGCGTTTCAACAAGTCTGAATCCCGGTTTACAGGCGAGCACCGCGGCGTTTCTCCCTGCCGACCCCCCGCGCCTTTACCCCCCCTCCCCCCAAAAATACAAAATTATTTCCACTGACATTTTCCCAATGCAGCAATGCGCGCTCCCAAAAGCCGATTTCCAGGGCAGTGGAAGGTGGGGGTGGTGGAGTGGGGAGGAGGCGGAGGAAGGGGGGCGGGGCGATGGGGGGGGCGTCATGTTTGGAGATTGAGTACGCGCACCGCCCTCCCCCCTCCCCACCTTTCCACAAAACTCAACCCCCGGAGGCGCGCACGCGGGCACGGGCCGGCCTATAGCTGAGGAGCCGATTGGCCGAGGCGCAGCTCCATCTGCCCACGTGACATGCCCTGCTTACAATAAATAAACAGCTATGGAATAATGTATAAAAAAAAAACACCGTGGCGGCTCCAAACCGCAGATTCCCGTCATGAAACCACAGCCAACCGTCAGACAGGTGACACACACTCAGTCCGCAGGTGGAACACCCGGCGACATGCCCGACCCCTGCCCACAAACTTGGAGCAGAATATTTTTGGACGTGTCCGGTGGGAGGCGGGCAGCGCCAGGCAACAGCCGTGCGTAACAAAAAAATGACAGCTATAGGTTTTCCAGTGGACATTACACAGCCCCGGCTCCGAGCTCCGCACACTCCAAAAAAAAACACACACACACAAACACAACACAGTTACCGGCGCCCTCCGACCCCCCCGGACCACGCCACACACACGCACACACACAATGCCAAGCGAGCTTACCTACACAGTGAATGAGTTTGTGCCTCCAAGAGTCAAGTTCCTGCCGAAAGCCGCGCCTCTCTATCGTGCATTGCTGCCTTTTGCACAGACTCGCCATTTTCTATCGGCCCCTCCCGTGGGCGCGCACATACTGCTGGGTGCTTCCCTGCGCGCACGTCACCGGTGGTTTTTATTCTAGGGCTGGGTGGAGTGAGATATGAGGGGGACGGGGCTGCAGCATCCCCCTTTCTATAGCGCTTATTTGTCCCACCCACCAAAAGCGCCCCCTCCCCTCCCCTCCCCTCCCCTCCATCCTTCCCAGCATCTCTGCGCGAGGATGTGCTGTCATTGGTCGTTTAATGGGATGTTTGTCTGTTTTAATGTTGGACAGGGCGCAGCACATGGCGCCTGTGCTCCAAATTTGCCATGGCTTAAAGCTATGTGTGTCAAAGGGCGCGGGTGCGCCGGGGATTTAAAATGCGCATAAAGACACTGCATTGTTTAAATTAACAGATGTGTTACAGTGCGGCTCCCTGCATAGGCGGAAGCATATAGACTGTAGATGCGATGTTTACAAAGACGCGTTGTTTTCAAAAACTGCTGGAGTGTCATTTTATGAAAATAAAAGAGCCTACAGCTCCTTGACGTGACTGTAGCTCTAAACATAGAGAGGCTCTCCTGAAAATCCCCTCAGTGTTCCTGAGGCTCAGTGGGTCTACCAGGAACCGTAAATTCAGCCAGTGACATCACTAATATTCATGTATTCACAAGAATATTATTTAGCCAATTAAGGGATTACCACAAGTCCTGCTTCAGTGGATTAGCTTTTGTTAAAGAAATTAATAAAAGCTCGACTCTGACTGTCGCCTGCATCACTAAAGAATTATCCAAAACTTACATGAGGTGTTTCTATTAGAAATAACCTGTGTGTGTGTACGTAGAGCTGTAGCCATCATGAATCTACGTTTCCCCTCCAAAAAGTGTCTAAAAATGTGTATTAATTGGAATTTTGTATCATATTTTCTGCAATATGTATTTAAATGAAGTGTTTCTTTAAGAGAAATTTCAATTAATATCAACAATCAGCAACACAACACGACTAACTAAGGCAGTTATTAGGAAATACAGATCTGTAAGTGTCGGCGTTTCGTTTAGATTTTTGCTCTTTTTCATCAAATTCTGGCAGAAAAATACTGAAACCTCCGGGCTCTACAAACATCTGCATGAAAGGTTTTCAGCTCCCACAATACCACACTGTAATACCACATGATGTCGGCGTCCTCAGTGGTAGCTGTGACCCTGTGTATAAGTCCATGGGGGGGGGGGGGGGGGGGGGGGGGATTACTCACAATATAGTTCTTATGCCCCTGTGTCGGCAACAGCTGTGGCCAGGAGGCTTCATGTCTTCAGTCCGTCCCGTTCAGGAACACCTTGAGGGAATGACTTTAAATTGAGTGCAAAAAATCACTTGGAGTCAAGAATGAACTGATCAGATTTTGGTGGTCAAAGGTCAAAAGTCAGAAGTCAAAGGTCAAAGTCACTGTGACCTCACAAAACATGTTTTTTTTTGTTTTGTTTTTTTTTAACTCAAAAATTAATGTGCCAATATATGAGACAATTTCACACAAATGTGTGACAGAGTAAAATGATGAAGTTATGAAATTATATATTCTAACAGTCAAAGGTCAACTTCACTGTGACATCATAACGTTTTGCAAAAAAACAAAACGCTGTAAAAGGAGAGAGTGAGACCATACTTCCTGCAACTTGACCTGCATACAACCGCTGGTGGTTCTGGTTATTTACACCGTATATCATCGCAGGCAAAGGTGCTTGTGGACCAAGGCCACATATCACAGCATTTATAATGTAAACTATTGCAATGCACATTTATCAATACATATGGGATTCAAATACAGCCAACTTAACTGCAGGGAAACACATGCAAAACAGCACAGAGCACAAACATCAATGCAATTAAAAACTTAATGAAAAGATTGAATTCCTCTTTAAAAACTGTATCAACGCAACTGAGTTTGAAGGGAGCCCTCTCAAGTTTAATATCAACAAATTTGGTAACTGAATATGTGCAATTCGTCTTTTATCATGTGACTTTGCACGAGTTGATGCTTCCACCTTGTCTGCCCATGAAAAACGGATCAATTGTTTTCTCATATCCTTCAGTTCTCTAGCTTTAGTTCTCATTTTCCATTATTTCAGACACTGAATACCTGCCTCCTCCTTTAAAAAGGCCACTGGACAAGATGATGCAAGTAAGTCCAAGATTTCATTGCTGTCTTTTTTTTTTGTGGCGTGGCAGTGTAGGAAAAGTCTTTGAGACAGCATTTACATCATCATGTAGTGAGAGGAAATAATGTACAAAGTCTATAAGTGGACAGTTAAATGAATAAATTAAATACATATATTTTTAAATTGTAATAAAAGGTAAATTTCATGAGCTCCTTTAGTGGGACGTTTTAAGGTGATTAGGTTGCCTGTGAGTCACGATCTCATATGATCAGCCCCTCTTCATGTGGGTTTGGCACCTTTTGGCGCATTACGCTTGAAACAAAAGTGTTAATTAATTAATTAACAGTCGATTTTCGATTAGCCAAACAAACGTAAGTGCAGTGGTGGGATCAGATAGCAAAATTAAACATCTGGCCCACATATACTTCCACATCTGGGCAGATATCGGCTGTTATCTTCCCGTATTGGCTGACAGTCGGGTCATTCTCTATGTGTGTGTGTGTGTGTGTGTGTGTGCGCCAGAATCGGCCCAGATGTGGAAGTAGTATCTGACGGGCACGCTGTATATGGGCCGGATTCGGGCCGTGGAACCGAGGCGCATATTGGGCCAGAAGAAAAAAAAAAGGCATGTGGCCCAGATTTATTTAGTTTATCTATTGACTTTCTGTCCAAAATAAAAGCAACATCACCCGCACAGGTTTGATTATTGTAGCTTTTCATTAAGATATTATTGATATATTATTAATCAGCTTAATTTACAACAATGAAGTTCATTGTTGGCCACAGTTTGGGCCTAATAATAATCAAAAAAAAGTAGCTAGGGCCTTTATCACATTAATCCTAGTCCCGCTTTCCCCCAGAGAAACAAAATCAGGACAGCAGAGTTTTGTTTTATTTGGGTCACCTTGATTCTTCTTCTTCTTCTTCTTCTTTTTTACCCCTCAGCTTTCTAGTGAATTAAAGCCTTATTGGCTTTGAATCCATATCACCTCATTTAGCAAACCCTCCACCTCGGTGCAGCTGTTTTAACGCACTGGCGGAACGATAAATCATGTTCCATAAAACTCGCCAAAACGCGGGTCTAATCACCAAATTGAAACATGAAATGACACAGTGTCATTAAAGGGAACCTCGCTGCCGGTTTATAATCCTACAGAGACGGTGGGCAGCACATAAAAATAAAAAAAAAGAAAAAAGAAAAGGCAAGGGCAAACGCTTTAACGGAGGAGCACTTCGGCTAATTAAGTCGTTGAACCCGCTGCCCTCGACAAACATGTCTCCCGCGTAGGGGTTGGACGGAGGGGAAGCGCGACCAATGGGAGGGCGTCTTGAATCGGGGTGGACGCGTGGCAGCCAATGGCAGCGCGGCACCTTGGAGAGACGCTGAGGCAGCTCTGCCAGGACACCGCCAGATACGGAAACGGCAAAAAAAAAAAAAAATAGCCGCCGAGAGGAGCAGGAATCCTCCAACTGCCGCGTTGTTTTCAGTGATGTAGAGAAAAGGGACTGAGTTACTCTTTAATAAAACAGGTAAAACGTTTATTTTTTATTTCTTCAGGCCTGCTCACTGTGTGGGTGTGTGTGTGTGTGCGCGCGAGTGTGTGTGTGTGTGTTTCGGAGGCTGGCAGCGTCATGCCGGCAGGATGAAAGGGATTAGGGCGCCGTTACTGTGGCAACATTAGATGGAGGGATACACACTCCTCCTCCCGTCCATAATCTGACAGCGTGCCTGATGGCATTTGAGCAATTATTCAGCCTAATGAACGGGCCTTAGATGTTTTCTGTCTTCATTGTGAAAGCCTAAATGTGTCTTTGATGCTGCTGTCTGCAGCGGTTTGTCTGTAGCCTCATTCTGAAACGCCAGAAAGAAGGAGAAGAAGAAGAAGAAGCTCCAGTGAACACAGCCGTTTTTACTAACCAAGATGTGTTTGAGTAAAATAGGAAATTTGAAGCGTCATAAATCTCAAATAAATGAGGTAGAGTTTTGCTTTCATACTACTGTTTAACCAAGTCAGGAGAGAGGACCCGAAAGTACCTGCTAGCATTTGAATCTGTAACTTTGCATCCTGTGTTTATACATCTTATCTGCCCTGGTGTGCTGTACTGCACTAAATGGCCTAAAGTACATGGACACCCCTTGTCTAAGGCCCTGTTCAGACTGTTTTTTATTTTAAAGCTGTATCCCTTATTAATACCGGTGAAGGGAAATCTTAAAGATGCCCTGTGGAGTTTTTATAGTAAACAAATAAAAAGTTATGTCAACATCTCACCTAACAGCGTTTTTGTGTATCTTTGAGAAATATTTTAAATACTTTAAACGTTTACATCCATTTTGTGTTTGTGCATGATGCAAATAAAAAAAAAAACAGACCCACTTGTTTTGTTCTTGCTTTGTTTTGTTTTTTGTTTTTATTTAACTTTATATCTCCATAGCACAATGATAAAGGGGAATTTAATGCTATAACATACCACTGTATTTTAGACATGTGTGACAGTGCGTTCCCAGCTGTGTGCCAACAGCTTTGACAGTATTTTCAGACGTCACCCTGGGCTGTAATAATTGGTATTTTTCATAGGTTTCTGACATCTTGTACGATAGCTCAAACAAGTCAATTGGTAAATAGTAAAAAAAAAAAAAAAAGCAGTCTAAGTGTCACACTAACTGCGGGACAGGTCTTTTCATCCAACAGTTGAACAAACGGCCTTTGTTATGGTTTGTCAGACCGAAGTGGGATCGACGGGGGTGTGCAGGTTCTGTGGAGCCCCTGTCTTTGCAGTCTGAGCCAGATTGCTCCGCGGACACGCTGCGGCGTTCAAAAAGTAGCAATTAAGCCACGGTGGGTTGGAGAAAGGTGGACACATTATTTGATGAGTACCCAGTTTTCTCTCTCTCTCTCTCTCTCTCTCTCTCTGTGTCACAGTGTCACAGCTGCAGGTGAAAAAGCTCCAGGTCTTGATGATGGTTTTTTTGTTGTGTGTTCCAGCCGGACCCATGACCCTGACACGAGGATCCTTCACCTACTCAAATGGCGAGGAGTACCACGGCGAATGGAAAGAAGGCAAGACAGACTGACCTCCTCAATCACTCCGCAATCCATCCTCCATCAATCGACCACATTTGCATGCGCACCAAATATTTTGTTATGATGTGATTAAAAGAATTATGCACGTAAGGCCGAGTCCAGCGTAAAACGCCACACTTGTGTTTGATTCATGTGATAATGCTGTTGGCACAAGTGAGCGCGATCACAGTAACATATGTGGAGCGCTCAGACTTTATTTGCATTAACAGACACCAGGTGGGACGTGTGCACATCTCAGCAGTGTTTCTCGATCCGAGGTCACTTTGAGAGAGTGGAGAGGAAGTCAGCGGCGGACTGTCATTGTCGACGGGGTCAAGAGTCAAGGAAGCTGACGGTGCAGGGGTGGATTGCACTAGTTTTTAGAGGGTGGATTTTGCATAATATTTCAACATGTTCACTGGATGATTTAAATAAACACTCGACTCATGTGAGAGAAATTAGTTTAGAGGATTGTCGTGGAGTCAGTAAATGACTTACCTCCGGCTCTCTTTGGATGGTGGCATGTGAATCTTCTCTGGTATCTGGTTCTCCTTGAAACAACAGTGATTTATCAGAATTACATCGGGTAAAATAAATTCTCTTGATGTTGATAGAAAATCAATAATTATAGTGTAAACAATTAAAGAAAAAAGTCAGTTATAGAACCTGCATGTAAAAGGAATTAGTATTAAAAACAAAACATAGAACAATTACAATTTTAAATTTATATATTACATGCACATGGATCGTTGTTGAAGCTTAGCCTGGTTTATACTAATGGTTAGCTATGGCAGCCATATGAAGTAGGGATGCATATACATGGGAATCGATGCTTCTAGTCACCGATCACCAAAACAAAACAACACGTCTGTCTGTGAATGTTCTCATTCGTCCAGGTCATAGTTATCTCTCTCTCAAATTAAATCGATGAAGCCGCTTGGATAAGAGGCGAAACGTCTTCCACAGACAAATACAAGTCCAGTTGCCTTCGATTTAATTTGAGAGAGAGAAAACAACACGTCAGCCCTGTGGAACTTTTACAAGTTTTACACAACCCCGTGGTGATTATGGCGGCAGCAACGGAGGATGTTGGTTGACGTTGTGTGGAGAGCGCAGAGGGAGGTGGTTGGGGTGGTTGGGGTGGTTGGACGGGTCGACTTCAACACATGAGATGTCTGTTTCTTTTTTTAAAGCGGATAGATATCGTCGTTTATTTTTAACCACGATCTTAACAGCATGTTTATTATTGTAACCGTGACGACTGCGGTCTGGTGCGGCTGCTGCCTTCTTCAGGAGACGCTCCCATTGGTTGTCTGAGAGGGTAGGGACAATATGGTGGTTTAGGTTGGAGCACTTGTTGTAGTAGACTGAATATCTTTGGCTTTTGAACTGTTGTTTGCACAAAAGCAGACACCATCTCGGGTTTGATGGAGGGCACAAAGCGTTAGCTCATGGGTACAGGTCCATCCACCAAGCCGTCCCTTGTGAGCTCTCCTCCCAGGCCCTGGTTTCTTAATCCGGGCAAGGTCAGTCCCTCCCGAAGACGTTAATCCACAGAGGCCGTAAAATTGCTGTCAGTGTAGCCCCTCACCTGGGACCAGTTCCCAGAGTCCTGCACCACAATGAGGTGGTATTCTCAGAGGGGTATAAGTCCGGTCTTTACAGGATTGGAGGAATAGTTCATTCCCCAAAAGAAAATTCATTTGGTTTCTTTCTTATTCCTTCAACCTCCTCCAGCGCAAAAAAGATATTCTTTATACCCGATTGACACACTAACATTATAAATATGAAAATATTGGGACTAGTTTAAAAAAAGCTTTCCAGGTGAGATCCGGTCTAAAAGCAGGATGTTGGTGTGTGATTTGTCTGGCTTTTCTTTGGGACTCAGACCTACTGTTTTAATTTGTAACTTTTCCACATTAAAATGTCTAAAAACGGCTAGAACATATGTTATTGTGTTTTATATTATCCCAAATGTTTCCATCAATTCTCAAACCTAAAGAAATTTGTGTTGAATACGTTGCGTTTCATTTGGTCGTCTGTCCCCTGCACGTGTGCGTCAGCACTGTGGTTGTCTGCCAGAGGCTGATAATTGACTTTTATCCAGTTTTAAGAAGCCACATTTATAAGATACACTTTTTACACCTTGGTCATGTTTTTAACCAGATCAAGGATTTCAGTCATCGGACGTCTGGATCTGAAGTTATCAGGAAAAAAAAAAAAGAAGCTGAGCTGTGGATAATTCAGCTGCCGGTAAAAACCTCTTGAATGACCGACAGTGAGGGAATCCAAACCAGGAGAAGTTACCCAACTCCGTCCTTTGTTAGTTTGACCGAGAGACCCCCTGGTGGCAGAGGTTACGTACTGTGCGTTTAAGGGATTTTCTTGCGGGACTTGACAAGTGCCGTCCTTTCCTTTCCATGCAGACATGATCCATGTGTTATTGGAATACAGACACAGTAGCTAGACTTGATTTATGGATGTATCTCAGGTTCAAACGGTAGCATCAGTAAATGTGAGGAATATCGTGCCGATGGAAAGTTGCCCACGGCAGCTTGAAGGAATGAAGGGTGGGATTTCATGTCAGACGTGTCAGGAACAAAGTGGGTGTCCTCCTCTACGTGAGTCACAACAGGAAAAGTGTTCGGGCTTTTAAAAGAAGCTGCACCCTCACACAAACAGATTGTATCTAATACGCAAAAAAAAAAAAAAAAAAAACAGAAGAAAGTGTCAAACTGAAGTCAGTAACCACAGGCAGATCTACACTCACATGCATGCACACACCATCTGGTGCCAGCGAGCCCACTGAGACACGATATCACACTACCTAAACCAGTATTTGCAGGCTGACAAAAACACTTGGACAACCTTTAGGGCAAGGTTAAACAAAGAACAAAAGTTTGGCACCAACGCGGGTGTGAGGCTGCGGGGAGAAACATATGGTCTCTGCACGGTTTGCAAAAAACTGTTAAACTGGTTTGGCTGTGATGCACAGATATGTACAGTTTTAAATATACAGCAGTGTGTGTGTGTGTGTGTGTGTGTGTGTGTGTGTGTGTGTGTGTTTTTAGCACAGACGTTTCTCAGAGATGACTCCACTAATAGAGCCGGTGCAGCAGCTCTGTGTTGGCTGTCAGGATTTCTTGGCATTGTGTTGATTCTTTTGTCACATTTATTTGTATAATTTTTTTAAATCCAACAACAACAAAAAAAAACAACCTATAACCTAAAATACTTTTGATGCACTTTAGATATTGGCTTAAAAGCTTAAAAGCTCCAGAACAGCTACTGAATCGACTTTGTAGTGAGATTGTTTTTCTGAATTAAAGTTTCCTATGGTCAAGAATGACCTTTGAACCTTCGATACAAAGGTTTATTCTAAAACTGAGTATTGGCTTAAATGGTAAAATACTCTAAACTCAAGCTTTTAACCACATCTAAAGTATTTCACAACCTACTTTAGTGAAAAAAACTACAACCTTGAGTTTTGAGTGTTTTATCACATTTTCTAAAACTGTTGGGAACTAAATTTACTGTAAGTTTTGCAGTTTTTGCATTTTGTTAAAGCTCCATATTTTCTTCTTCTTCTGTGTTTTATTTGAAGTGTTGATCCATAAGAAGATATATTTTTTGTTTTAAGAACCAAAAATCATCTCAGTGTAGTTTTACATCTCCTCTCTCAGGCTTCTCTCTGGAGCTCTAGTAACAACAGGTCGGTGAGCCAATCAGAAGAGAGGAGGCTCTGAGCCTCTCTTCTGATTGGCCGACTGTTTTCTGAGTGATCCAATAAAAATATAGCAGATTTCAGGTAAAAACTCTCAGAGAAACCAAATCCTGCAAGGTTTGGATGGTGGGTCCAGGTGGGCGGGGCTTGGTGACTGCTTTGTTGTGACATCACAAAGTTCCAGAAGTCCTGACGGCTGGTTTTAAGGCTCAGTTTCTGAATACAGGCTGTGTGCATTTCTCTGTGGACTGAGGCTTTGATACTTTCACAGTATTAATATAGAAGCTAGAGCTGATCTATAATCACACTACACATGGACAGAGACCTTTACACTGGAGGAGCTCTAACATATTTTTACCATAGGAAAATCTGACCATATCTAGATATTACTTCCTTCTAGATGGTTCCCCTTTCACCCATTTCTTTGTAATTTTTTTACCTGCTGTTTATAGCTTTTTAATGAAATATTTAACTGTACAACTCCTTGTGTAGCAGCTTCACATACCTGCTCCTAAGACATTTCCAAAATATGTGTGATTACACATTCTGCTGATATTTTAACACTGTTCGTTGAAATAACACGTGTGTGTGTGTGTGTGTGTGTGTGTGTGTGTGTTGGGAGGAAGCTGTTGTCATGAACACAGATTGATGCGTGTCGTGCATCGTGTCTCCGCTGGCCATGCGTGCAAAGTCACTGTTTGCACACAAACATGTAGGTGCATGTCGGACAGAGGTCTGCGGTGTCATATGAATAATGCAGAGGAGCGCCGGCTGAAGACAGACCCGGGGGCTATCAGGTTACAGGAAGTAGGTTGGGAACATCCACACAACAGCCGGGGCACAGCCAGAAGCCATTTACTACTGTACTTCCCCCATGCGGTCATTTAACTTCTGTGCATTACCGCTATTGATTGACATAAGAGCCGGACAAATTCAGCTAAACCGTAATTAGCCGGAGACCGTGACCCAACACGAGATTGGAGAGAGGCGTTCCAAAGGAGCTGAGCAACAGATTAGAGACTGTCTGCAGGGATCAGATCCAGGAGGCACTGTCCCTTACTGCTGCTGCAGCCCACTGATAATCTGTCCCTTCACTAAAAAGTAAACTGTTAACTTCATAGCGCTCTGATGCCACTTGATTTCATTACGTTCAATAGCTCCACTCACACAGCTCTTCCAGTGCTCCCTGAAAGACACTGCTCTTGGCGTTTGCGGCCAGACGACTGCGGCCTCTTCCACACTCCGCAGAATCCGTGAAATTTCCGCCTCAGGCTCCCACTCGCTTGTCAGGGGTCCTGCAGGCTGAAGGGTTGAATTTAAGAGCCTGTTGACCTTCTTCTTTACCCATATAGATATATATATACTGTATATACTTAATCGAGTGGGGGCTTGCGCACACATTTGCACATATGGATGCATTGGAGGAAAGACTTTGAAAATGGAAGGCAGAGCTCCAGATTTAGTTTGGGCCAAATCTCTTCTCCAAATCTCCTGTGAAAACCCTGCTGAGATTAGGCAGAGAGCAGCACTTTAAGCAGCCCTGACAGATGGACTGCCTAATTTACTTTGCCATTAGCTGGGAGCAAGGGACAACACTCACTAGCCTCACCCTTGCCTCCCCTCCTGTAAATCCCAATCTGCTGTCAGGGTTCTCCCTCCATATCTTCTTCCTCTCTCCTCTCTCCTCTTCCACCAGTTTCATGCCGCCTGGGAAGCTCTCAGCAAATCCTGTTCCTCGCTTACAGCTGCTATGAGGAGCCCAGGACCTCCTCAGCCCGCGTCCAACCGCGCCTCATATCCAGTTATTCTCCTAATTCCCGCCGGGCCTGATAAAAGAGGTCAGCAAGGAGAAGACATTCACTCCTTCCCCCTCCCTCCTCCTTCGACCGCCACCCTCCTGATCCCGGAGAGTAATCGCAGAATTAGGAGGAAAATTGGGTCTCACATCTGTGGCAACATTTTAAGAGTGGCCCACCTTTTGCCTGCTGGCACCATTTAATAATAATCTCCTGAACTGCTGAATTAAAATAATAATCTGTCTTCTTAACCCCCAAATATATATATTTTTTTTTTTGCAAAACTCGTCTCTGACCTTACTGGATAACGTAAATAAACCGTTTCATATATATGTTCCTTTCAAGACGTCCAAGGACACTGAACAAATTGAATAAGACATTCATGTTACATGACTCTAGTTCATTGTGTTACACTAACCGAGTAGCACACAGCACGTCACAAGCTGTAGAAAAACCTGGATGTGGCGTCCGTGATTAGTTTCGTCACGATAGCAGAATCGGGGACTTTGATACGATACCTGTCCGACCATACGATGACGAAGTGGATCGAGGGTCAGTGTCACAGTCTGATGAGGCAGGGGTGAGGGTGAGAGACTCAGATGTGGAGGAGGAACCAGTGTGAAAGAATTTATTCAAACAAAAAAACCAAAGTCCATACATGAGCAGATGGCGACGACGAAACAGACACCGAACCTCATAGCCAACAATGATCCCACAAAGACAAGACAGAGCAAGGGCTTTTTTAAAGGAACAGAACTGATTAACGATGGAGAACAGGTGGGGAAGCAGACACAGGTGGAACACATCAGGGATGATTAACCAAAGGAAGCAAAACTAGAGCTCAGACACTGGGGCGACACGACTATCAAAATAAAACAGGAAGTGCACGGGGAAACAGCGCAAGACAGGGAAGACTACACTAGACTCTAGAAATACCCAAACCAGAAATACTCAAACCAGAAATACTCAAAACCCAGAACAGAAACCCAAAACACAGAAAACTAAATCAAGAAAGTCCAAAAAACCAAAACCCTGGAGCCTCCAGGCTGAGACCATGACAGTCAGGAACAGAGTGAAGTCGCGGAAGCTCCAAGCCGAAGACCAAGACGTGTTTCGGCTTGTGGGTGACCCTGACCTACAAGCCGAAACACGTCAGTCTCATACATTTCTTATATTTACTGCAAGTGTTGCTGGAGTCGTGCCAGGAACCTTACTTTGCTTGGGTCCGAGGCGAAGACCAGAAAGCCGAAATCCCGGTGGATCAGAGCTCCTTACGGTCCGATATGATCAGTTCCCTCTCCTTTCCTAAATGCATCAATTAAGTAAACTTAGTGTGAGCTTTGGACGGAGCGTACCGAATTCCTTCGAGGTGTAGACGGTGAAACCAAGTCTGATTTGCACTCTCAGGATGACCATAACACAAATATGTATTGTCATTTTTAAATCAAGTCTGACTAAATAGAAAAACTAGCTGATACACTGGAGGAGTGTCGAGCTGAAGGGCGAGACTGTGACCGTATCTGAATTGTATCAGGCATCAAGGTCAGGTGTGTAGCAGCTCCAATGACATTTGTGCTGGTAAGCATATTATTCAAGTGAGCCATAAATAGGGATTTATTTTCCGCCACTCTCCATCGTCTGATATCAAGCGAACCGCCGGCTGTTTTTCTTCCTTTGTGCACAAACAAACCATTTTGAAAACATGATGGAAAGTGCTGGAATATTTCATATCCAGTATTTTCTTGCCTAGAGTTGTGTTTTACTTGTTGCTTCTTTTTTTTTTTTTTTTGCCCAGATGAAATGAACACACAGGATGTTATTGAGGGTTTAAGCCGTGTGAAACTTTTCCCTCCAAAAATGATTATGTTTTCAAGGATAGAATCAACTTTGCTTTTTCATACTGAAAGAATTCAGTAAGCGCCTTTATTTAAATCGGACTGCAACCTCTCAAAAATAATTGCCTGGATTGAAATGAACACATGGGATATTATTGATGGCATGAGCCACATTAAACTTGGCCTCCAAAATGATTATGTTTTCAAGGATAGAATCAGCTTTGCTTTTTTCATACTGAAAGAATTCAGCAAGCACTTTTATTTAAATTGGATTGTAACCACGCGGCTGTTATAGAGAATAATTCCACTTCGAGCACAAAGTCTAAACGATGCAACGACAAAACAAAAAAGACTGTTTTGGTCTCCAGATTCTTGGCTGTTCCGGTTCAAGTGTGGGACGCAGACGTGTCTGTTGACTATGAAGAAGTGTTGATGGAATGTAATGTTCTTATTTTCATCACGTGTCCTTGGGGAAAAATAATAAACGTTTTGTCAGTAACATCGAAACAGGATCTTTTCTATGCCATCAATTCACAACCAAACTGGAAGGTCTTGGAAAGCTGAATGAATTTATCTTTTTATTTTTTTTGACTTTGTAAGTAATTAAAAGTAAAGTAAGTTAGCAAAGCTGGATCCTAAATCTAACTGGACATCAAATGGCATCATTAGAAAGAATAAACAAACACATGAAAATGTTGCTTTGTGCTGCATTTATTGTTGTTGTGTTACTTTGTTGTTCAATTTGTGACTTTGTAGGAATTAGTCAAACTGAAGTTTTGATGCTAAGTTTTAATATAAATAAAGAATTATTTAGTAATAAACAGAAAAATTACCAGAGAAAACACAAAGTTTCTGAATCACTGGAGCTGACTGATAAAAATCTGGGTTCACCCTTAAATTTCTTATATCCAGTAAAGAGGGAGTTAAATCTTGTAAATATTCCCATAAAACATAATATAGATTCATAGATTAGAGATAGATAATATAGATTTACCATGACGATTTCACAAAAATAAAAAATAAATAAATGTAGTCAGAACTGTCGGCTAGTCGGCATGCTTTCACACAAAATGCATTTCTTTATGAATCATCATCATCATCATCATCATCATCACTTGAAAACTGCAGCTGTTGACGTGATTTCATGAGCTTCTCACCAGCGAAGTTTAAATCCACGTTTTTATCATTTGTACACAAACAAACTGAACCTAATCTGACAGAAGCAGATCATCTAATGTATCTAACTCTCAGCTCTGTGTGTGTGTGTGTGTGTGTGTGTGTTCTCCAGGTCTGCGTCACGGCCTGGGTCAGCTGACCTTCAGTGACGGGACGTGCTACACGGGACAGTTTGAGAACGGCCTCTTCAACGGCTGTGGGATGCTGGTCTTCCCCGACGGCTCCAGGTGTGTGTCTCACTCTCTGTTGGTCCGTCCGCCAGAAGCATCAACGTTAACTTCTTATCCGGTCTGACGCCACGTTTAAAGAAAATAAATAATATACTTTTAGTCACTGGACGTCTGGATCTTAACTTTGTCAAAGAGAACCTGCTTTATTCGGTGTTTCTACCAGATTTAATCCCCCGGTCTGTTTGCTGTTTCCTGCTGAACCTCTGACGCTGAAGGAATCCTGCAACAACTCCCATGATCCCACACTGCTTCACAACGTCCCCCAACTGCATCTTTAGTTTTTGTTTTGCCTGCGAGACGTCTAGTGGCATTCAACAAAGCAGCATTCAGGCACTTAGCATCAGTCTGAAGCACGTCTGTCTATTATTCTGTCCATCATTTATATGATTTAGTCTGTAAAACGAAGAAACCAACTCGATTCTTTGATTATCAAAACAGTTAAATGACTGTAAATGATTTTTCTGCTGGAGTTTCATCACTGACACACAGTGTGTTATAAAATCCAGTCGGTTAACAACGTCTCAAAACCCGGACGGTGGTTAAAAGTGAGTCTCTTTTGTGTCCTTAGGCATAATGAAAGAAGTCAGTGCAGAATGTGAACTAGTTGATCAGTGTCACAGAAGAGAGAAATAAGACGGGAGAGAAGCGGCGGTGGTTCGCAGCACAAAGACGGAGCTGCAGGTGGTGTGTGGTTTAATAAAAAATAAAAAAAAAAAAGGAGAGAAAAAATTCTTTCCAACTTCAGAATTGTTGCGGCGCTTTCATGGCTGCAACACGATGAATGTCTGATTGTCAGAGGCGGTTTCTTTCTTGCCGTCGTATTAGCCGCAGTCATTCCAGAGCAGACGGAAACATCGGCTTTTCATCTGCTCCTCTTTGTTTAGCGAAAGGTGAGCGGTTCAAGTACAGCCGAGGAGGAAGAAACCAAAGTGGAGCCTGTTCAAGGCCGAGCGCAGTGTCGTTACTTAGAGAGGAAAAAGAAGAAAAAAAGAAAAAAAAAGCCAGTTGATTCATTCTTCAAATTCTTCAGGGTCTGTGGAAACACTAAATCGTGTTTTTTGAGGTGTTGAATGAATCTGAAAATCTTTCCATCCACCGTCTGACGCCTCCATGAAGGTTGTGGAAAGTTTTTTTAGCTCCGTCGTCGAGCTCGGTGGAGAAACAAATGAAGTCAGTGTCTGTGGGACAATGTCAAACAGCCACGAAGGCTGAAACCACCACTGATGTATTCCTGCTGAAGCAACATTTCACTGGTGGTGTTGTTGTTGTTGTTGTTGTTGTTGTTGACGTGGAGCTTGTTCTGACTTTTCTTCTGATTATTTTCTCGATTAATCAAATGATTGTTTAATAAAAACTAAGAAAATAATCCCACAAAACTTGTTTTCTTTAACCAATGATCCAAAGTTCAAAATGATCTTAAATAAATTGTTAAAACAAAATGAAAAAAATGCAGCAAATCCTGGAACAAAAACGAGAATCAGAATAGTTATAAATTAAAAGTTTCATTTGTGTATTTAATAAACCACCTCACATGTTTTGTATGATGCATGAATCCTAATTTGTAAAGTAACACGGAGTGAAAAGTTGGCAAGAATATTTTCCCTCTGAAATGTGGTGAGGTAGAAGAAGAAGAAGAAAAAGAAGAAGAAGAAGAAGAAGAAGGAGGAGTATCGTGAAAAGATCATAAAGTTAAACAGTTCTTCCATCCATCCCACATGACATGAGCTCTACTGTCGTTAATGGTGCACAACACATCAGCTTCTAAAGTTTATAATGTCAGCTCTCTGTTGACTTTCCTCTGAAGGCATAAATTAAAGAACGAGAGACGTGTCGTTTTGCAGGATTTGCACCAAGTTGCAGCATCTTGAATCGAATCTATTCATTTGACTAAAAACCCCAATTTCCTGGTAATTTCCTCGTGTGTTACTAAAAGTGTGTGTAAACTAAAAGCGCCCGTTTGCTGTTTTATTTGAATTCATAATGTACAGAATCAGGCCCGTGGCATATTACTATTATTACTGTTTCATATCTGGACTGAGTGTAGTTGTGACTTCCTTCCTCTCCAGTCTGATGATTTTAAACGAGCTGAGAAATAATGAAAACAGGAGCTTCTGTCATCAGATAAATGATTCCATCGATCAGCAGTTATAAATGTGTGATGCTTTTGTCGAAGTCTATTTGATGAAAGTGAAAGTCGCAAACAGTTTCATGCCTGAGAGTCCGAACGATCAAGGACGGCGTCGCAGTCAAACCTCCGTTATTTATTGTTTGTTTGTGTGAAACTATTTCCTCAAGCTTTTGAAAAATGTCCCTCCTCACTCTCCCTCCGCTCTCTTCTTCTTCTTCTTTCTTTTACTCACAATTCTTAAATAACTACAAATGAATTGTCATTGTAGAGTTCAACGTGTTAACGTCGGTTTCTTTTTTGTTTTTTCAGGTATGAAGGTGAGTTTGTTCAGGGGAAGTTCCAGGGCGCCGGCGTCTTCGCTCGCTTCGACGGGATGAGGTTTGAGGGCGAGTTTAAGAGCGGATGTGTGGACGGCCACGGTAAGATCTCACCACGCCACTAACCCTCCTCGTTCAAACCCTGTCTCATACACACCATAGCTCCATCTAATCGTTTCATTTCTTCAACAGCTGAGGAAACTTTTCACCGTTCGATCCGCCGAGTCACAAAAAAATAAAAATAAAAATAAGCGGGAGGGATGAAACAGCTTCCTGCGTCCACTTCCTGTCTTCAGGAAAACACAGAAAACACGTAAAACATAAACCGGAAAGTCACTGTGTTATACAACAAATGTGTACGACAGTTACCTGCCCCGACTCCTCTGTCGTCACCTGGCTGAATCACAAACTGTGCGCGGCGTCAAACACAGGTAATGGTCGTCCGATCGTTATCATCAGGACACGGCGTTTCCTCGGCTTCGTTTCCAGCTACTTGCTGCTCATTTTTCAGTTGTGAGCTTTTTTTTTCTTAATAATTACTTTAAAGCTTGTGTCACTTTACACAAATGAAGTCAGTGTGTTTTGTTTTTTTGTTTTTTTTGGAATAAAAGCCGTCGCCTGTCTATCACTTTGCTGCAGTCGGTGCTCTTTGCTCCTTGTTGTGAGACGAGCATTTTAAATACTTTTTAATTATATTAAACAGTGAAAGATGTTAATTGTCTGGTCTGACAACCCCCCCCCCCGCCATGTCTCGGCTTCAGTCTCTGGAGGCAATCAACACGTTTTTTTATTTGAAGACTTGGCGGGTGGCAAGAGCGGAACAACGTGTCGCCGTGACAACTGGCTCATTTTTTTGTTCTTGTAAAAATAGAGATGGATCTTAAAGTTTCCTCCAGTCAGACCCGGCAGCAGCCTGAAGTCAGAGGAGCGTCACCCGAGCAGCTCGCAGTCAAACATTAACCTGAGTTCAGGTAACGGTTAACACACGAGGGGAGATAAAGGTGATGAAGCACAAACTAACGGCTAATAAAACCATATACGTTCAAATAGGAGGCTGAACGTTTTAACGTTATCGTCCTGGTTTGTTGCGGCTGCAGTTCGGCCCAAATAGTGTCGCTGCTTCATGTAGAGAGAGAGTTCACACAGAAACTAGTGTTTTTAGTCAAAACTGCTGATGGAGTTTGTCCCAAACAGACAAAACAAGCAGGAAGAAGAAGAAGAAGATGAAGAAGAAGAAGAAGAAGAAGAAGATTGAGAGAAGAAGATGCAAAGTTTTATCTCTATAAATTAGTGAAAAACACGTCGTATGCTGCAAAGTAAACCATGTAATTCCTGCAGGAAAAACAGCTGATGAGATTTGAACTCTGTGTTTTCAGTCTCGATCACAGTTTCTACTATTTATAAAAATGTGACTTCCTGATCATTTGTTCTGTCTTCGCCTGAAGCGTCGAATCAGATTCCAGCTCCGTCTCCTAAAACGTCTTTCATTAGTTTTTCTTCTTTACATCCTAAAACATGATCAACAGTTTTATAGTTAATGTTTAAGGTTAGAAAACGTGTCAGCGAATCGGTGAAGACCTCGTCACTTCTCAGCTTCTCCTGACCTGCCAGCAGCAGCCTGTTAGCTTAGCTTAGCTTAGCATAAAGACTGTAAGCGTGGAGTTGCTGTTTGACAGGGTTGACGGGATGAAGTGAGGGGTAAATATTTTATGGTGTCTGGTTACTTCACTTTGGTGTGATGAAACAGACTATGAGGAGTGTGTCTGGTGCAGGGCTGCTGACGTTTGTGGACGGAGGCCCCGGCGGCGGTGGCGGCGGCGGAGGCGGCGGCAGCCACGAGGGCGTGTTTGAGACCAACCAGCTGATGAGGAGAGAGAACAGCCAGGGAGCCGTGCAGAGGGCGCAGGCAGCAGCCGCCAAGGCCCGAGCTCTGGCCATGTGACCCGGACTACATCACCCACAGTGCCCCAGTCCCAGGATCCTCCTCCTCCCATCATCCTCCTGTTTTAGCTTTTTATGTTATTTACAAAAAGAGTCATTTATTTACTTTGGTTTCTTTCTTATCCAGTTTCTTTGACTCTTTTTTCAGATTTTGTTCTTTTTAAACACATTTTCATTTTTGTATCCTGCAGTTAAAACGTTTTATATAAATCTCTCTCTCTCTTTTTATTTATTTATTTATTTTTTGCATTTGATTAGAAAAGCCACTGATTCGGGATCAGCTGAGCCAAACCCAGATTTACGGTTCAGTTAACACACTGGTGCTAAATCTGCTTCAGGGTCAGCTCACCTGACGAAACACAACTCTGGATTCAAAAGTGCAAACGGACGTTTTTCCAGGAAACACTGATTCTCATGTGGAAGCACGTCTGGAGCTCCGAGTCTGAACTGGGATCATTTCATCTTCAGAAGTTTAAAGTTTTTCAGAGGTCTGGGTCGAGTGGGGGTTTGATAGTATTTGATAAAATCTGAATCTTATCCTTTGATTGAATCCCTCACCGACTCTAATTAGACTCAGCTTTCAACGTTTGCAAGTAATTAAAGTTATAAATAACTAAAACTCAAAGAATCAATTTAGATTTTTCATTATCTTTTGCTGATGAGGAGGAAGAAAAAAAAAAATTTAGTGGCTGCCTAATTAATGTTTACAACTTGTACCTTAAAATGAGATGAGCAGCAGAAGAGAGAAAGTGTTGATTAAATGCGTCTGACACGTTGAAATAACAGCTGAACTACTTTGCACAACTTATTATTAACAAGCTACTCGCAACTTGTGCACGTCCCAATTCAGAAGTGTCGGGTGAACGCGCTTCACTTTATTCATCTGAGGTGCATGAAAACTCGCTGTCTAACACTCGGCAGAGTAAACACACCGGCCTGCGGGCGGCAAATTAATATACACAAAGGCCTCAGACAGAACTCATATAATGTGACGCCTGCAGATGTTGCAGATGTTTTGATATCACGTTGTGAACAGGAAACAGCAAAGAGATTTGTTTGTGAATCTAGAAACTAGATCCAAAATGGAAGCCAGCGCTCGGTGCCCGATCCGGGACACCAGGTGCGTTTCCATTATGCGCAATTTGAAAGTGTGGACTTATATAATGCTTTAATGAAAGCAGGCGACACCGACAGAGAGTCCGACCCTCGTAGACCACGTCCTCCGAAGGGACTCAGCTTATATTTCCTGTTTGTGCCAAATGTTGTGTCTGTAAAACTTTTAGAACATTATTAGGAAACGATGGAAACAACCACATTTGTCCCAGTTTTAACTCGGACGTCGAGACGCGTTTTGACCTTTAAATCCCTGAATCAGTACTTTTCTGGGTTTCCTGCCTTCCTGTTCAAAGAGAACACACATTTGTTCTGACATCTGGCCTCTTATTGGTGCCCTGGTGTCAGAAAACATCCTCTTTACTTTCAGTCAGCGAGTTGTCAGAAAGGTGAAGATCTGGGCTGAAGAATTTCTTTTCTCTCTCTTTTCACTCAGTGCCATTAAAGCTCAGGCTGATCACACATCAGCGGCAACATCCTCCTCAGTGCCAAACACGCAGTGCCAACAGGCTGCAGCTGATCCAGAGTCAGTGGCCCCCGCATCAGAGAGAGAGAGAGGGAGGGGAACTAATGAGTGCAATTTCAGTTTTGGAGGTGCAATTTAATAATAATGTGCAATTTCTGGCTGAAAGCTTAAGGTCCTCCTTCCCAGCAGGTTGTGTGAGGATGAAGCAGCTGCTTCGTCTGCCGGAGAGGCTTTGTGGGTCACGGCGAGGCTAATCTGACGAAACAGAGCCCGGGTGTCAAAGCACTCTCTGAACTCCAAAGGTTTCATTCCAGAGAAACACGCAGACGCCTCCTTCTCACAGGGAAAGGGATATTTTAAAAAAACAAAAAAACAAAAAAACAAACACTCGTCTCATTTGTGATGCTCATTAGGAACAATGTGTTTTTTCCTTAATGGATTCATTCACCAGAACAAGACGATAATAATGATTATTGACGATGTTCTTTTGTGTGTTTCTGGAATGAAACCTGTTTTTTTTTTCTACTTTTCACATCCTTGATTAATGATGTCACTTTCAGTGTTTAATGTTTGTGTATAAATGACCAAAAAATCCCCCCCCCCTCCTTCCCCCCCCCCCCCTCAGAAGACAGAGAAAAAAAAGAGGTGTAAGTGTCACTGTTGTGAAGTTAACAAAGCTTGTGATAAGCTCTAACTAACACATATTTCACGCATGTCGTGCCTGCTGGGAATCAGTGTCTGTCTGTTTAATGAGACTGGTGAGTAGACGTGTGTGTGTGTGTGTGTGTGAGTGTGGGTGTGTGTGTGTGTGTGTGTGTGTGTGTGTGTGTCGTACTGTGGGTTGTGGGATGCGGGGGTGGGGTGGGGTATTAAATGGGAAATGGAGTTAATTGTCAGTTATGTGATTATCTCACTGTACGATTGATTTAGGCTGTGGTTCGGAGGGGGGAGGGGGGCTGGGGATCATAGAGAGTGAATTGCGCCCGAAGCAGCTCCCTGCTGCTGTTTAGGCCTCACATCCACTGCTGTTTGTCTCCGTCTGTGTCTGCCCGCCCCTCCATTTTCTACGGAATCACCACACCACAAACAACGACAACACCCCAGCCACACACGCACACACCACACACACACCACACACACGACACACACACACACACACACACACACACACACAACACAACACACCAACACACACACACACAACACACGACACACACACACACACACACACACCTGGTCTGTTTTCTGAGAATGTTTCAGCTTCTTTTGTCCTCTTGCCTAACTCTCTGGTCTGCCAAATTTTCAGGAAAGAGGAAAATATGAGAACGAATAAAACATTAATACGTTCTTTATAATTAGTAGTTATATATGCAAATGCAAACAAAAAAATCCTAAAAACCATGTGTTTGAATAACCTGACCACAAAGCTAATTACTCCTTTTGACCTCTAGGACGGTAATGGTACATACAATACAGTGTGAACAACTCAAGAACAAGACTGAGTACACATGACCGGAGGCACCACACCTTTTAATTGGCTCTGGGATCCAAACAGAGACCGTTAAATGGAGCTGACTGTTGCCGTTGGCTGAGGTGGTTTTTCAGACGTGTGTGTGTGTGTGTGTGTGTGTGTGTGTGTGTGTGTGTCTGTTTGCGGGGGGGCAGGCGGGTGTGATGATGGCGTGCACATCAATGATCCGTCTTAGACACTGTGTTATTACCAGGCAAAAAAGAAAAAAACCTTGTGACTACAGTTCGTCCTTATTGTTTAACGCTGTTGATCTGAGTGGAGTCGTCGTGGATCACTGAACCCTTTAAAACGCACCTTAAAATCTCAACTTGAAAAGTTGCCATGTGATATTAAGACGTGAGGTTTTTCACTCGCTGTGATTGGTTCCATGTTTCACTGTGAAGAGTCTCCATGAAGAAGAAGGGTTCAGTCCAAATCCTCCCGAGAGCAGAACTCACTGAGAAGAGATCGACACTGACGGCCTGAGAAAAGACTCTCAGAAATATGCTTGAGGAGAGACAGATATTACTTTTATTCTGAAGGCTGCTAGCAGCTTCCTCCCGCCTCCAGATGTTGTGCTAAGCTAAACACATCTTGGAAATAAAGCTGGTATCAATCTTCTAATTCGACTTAAACTTAAAAGTTCCTGTGTATATTCCTATTAATGATAATCTGTTCCAACCTTAATTTCAATTAAGATTTGGAATAAAAACTGTTTTACAGGTGATTTCAAACAATCTGAGGAGAGTTGATGCTTTTTAAACCGTGTCAGTGAGTTTGTGTAGTTTTTCTTCTTCATTGAGGCTCCGTCACTGTTTGTTTTACACACCAGGACTCCTCCTCGTTTTTCTATCAAACCTCTTTAGTTGAATGTAAAATTTTATTTTTTTTCTCTTCAGGAGAAACTGTTTATACCTGTGTCACTTAGTTTTACACACTCACACACACACACACACACTCACACACTCACACACTCACACACTCTCTCTGGAGTCTGTGCCGGCAGAAACAAAACCAAACCTGTTTCCATCATCATCACAGTAACGACAACAAACTCTGAACAGGTGAGAGAGACTGAAAATAAAAGAAGAAAAGAAAAGAAAAGAGGGAATTTAACGAGTGCCTGAACAAAAAACCTTCTTCTACTGTGCTTTGAATACTTTGAATACTGCCTGACTGTTTTACTAACTGTTTCTTAAGTGTCACTGTTTTGTTTTTTTGTGTTTTGTTTCTTGTTTTTTTTAAAAGGCTGTTTGTCTTTTTTCTGCCTATGAAGAGAAGTGAGAGAGGCCGTGTGCGGGTGGAGGACGGTGTTTGACCAGTATGTGTTACAGTGTGTTGAGATTACAGCCCGATGACTAACGACACCAGTGACTCACTGCCTTCACTCGCCGCAGGCCTCCGCATCTGCTCCGGGCGCCGGGCGACTTTTAGACGGAGGAGCCCGTTCAAAGCGAACGGACGGGGAAAATACCGACTTTAGCTACGTTCACCTTTAAAGCCTCTCAAAGGGTTCGGTTCAGGAAATGTTTCAGTTTTCAGCAACAGAAGGAAAAGAAATTGTTCAATTTAACCAGATAAAAAAAGGTCTTTAGCTGCCACGGTTTTATTTTGAAAAACACCATCGCTGCAAGAGTAGCGTTATCAAAATAAGAGGTTCAGGTTCAGGGGCAAACCACTGACTTTACGATAAAGTGATATGCGAGTCTGGATAAGCTTTATCAAGTCGGAGAGACAACGACCCTGATGATGTCACAGTGATGTCATCGGGGTTATCTAGGCTTGGACATGAAGACTGCAGATGTTTAAGTGTTAGAAACTGTGGATGTGGGGTTTTGGAAGAGGCTGGGCTTTACCAGGCAATAGAGGGTCTAATGAGAGATGCTGCTGAGTTGCATCATGGGAATTGTAG